TAAATAAAATAAAATTACAAACCATTAATAAACAAACTAAATGATTCAACAAATCATTAAAGTTCCCAAGAGATTGTCCGTTGATGATACTCATAAATAAATAATGTGTCGTGTCGACGATCGTTTTCACAAGAGTGATTATTCGTCGGTTACTAGACTCTTCGTTTCTACGACACAGGGAATGGACCCCCAAGGACTAAAGGATCCTTCGACGAACAACTTTTATACACATACTCTATCTCATTCGACTTGCATCATTGATGAAACGATCTTGCCTTGTAAATATTCTTTATCCCTATCCCTTTTCATCCCTACCTTAATAATATAATAATTATCATTGTTATTCGTTAGTTTTTACTAACCACCTATTCAATTCAATTAAATCAAATCAATATAAATGAAAATTCCTCAAGACTTTTTCAATTTATTCTTAAGATAAATTTAGATAATTTTATACTGGATGATAGAAGTTTGTTTTAATAATTAATTGAAACAAGCCCAGGTAAAATAATTCAAGAAAAAAAAACATTCTTGATAATTTTATTTTCTAATTGAGATGAAAAGTTTTTAAACAAATTAAATTTTACTTAAGAAAATTGAATTAATTACTCAAAATAATTCTTCATCCCAAATAAAGTTAAATTGATTTCAGGTATTTTATTATACATCACAATTATACAAAACAACGAGTTCATTATTTTCATACTGTAAGAAAAGAGAATAACCTCTTTTGAAATCGGTTTACCTGTTTCCTATTATTGATAATGTAATTAAATACACTGAAAAAGAAATTAATTGATTGAAAATAAAAATTCTTGAACCAAAACAATTATTTTGAAGAGTTTCATGATCTTGATTCAATACACAAAATTTTGAAGTTAGTAAAATTTACTTAAAGAAGTCCTTTCGCTCCAGTTGAGTCACAACAACTGTAGTAGTCAATATTCGATAAATTAAAATGAAAAACCCATAAAAATTCCTAAAATTAAAAAATAAATAGTATATGAGGCATAAATTCCACGGCAACCTATATATTTTATCGCAAAAAATGAAACCTGAATATTTCGAAAACCTTATTTTGATTTTTTTTTTTACCCCATCTAATCGGTGGTTAATGCCATAATTCGATAAAGTTGTTAAGGTCTGACTTTCTTGTAAGACTCGGAAAAAATACTAACATTTTTAGAAATTTTTTTTTCAAAAATTTGCACAGTGAAGTATAAATTAAACTTCACTAGTAGATACATAAGGACTTTAACTATTAGATAAAAATTAATTTTATGCATGATCTAATATTTTTTATTTAACATTGATGGCGAAAGGACCTCCTTAAGCTAAGAATAATGGCGACGATGACACTTTTTAAAATAATTTATTTGGTTCTAGAATTCTTCTCTCGAATCAAGTTTTTTTTCAGCTTGTACAACGGTGTTCGAAATTTCACTACACAGAAAAAAAAGATTACTTGAATCAAGAGAAAAATTCTTGAGCCAAAAATATAATTTTGAAGAGTTTCATTATCTTGAATTAAGATGAAAGATTCTTGAATCAAGTAAAATTTATTTAAACCAAGAAAAACTTCTTATTTTAAGAATTTTTTTACTCAAATCAAGAAGATAAAATTCTTCACATTTATTTACTTGATTCAAGTAAATTTTTTTTTCTGTGCAGCTATTAAGATTGTTTTTAACAAATATTCAAACTCAAATTTAAAAATGTAAAATTTGTTTGTTGTCTGAGTAAAACTAAAATGAAATGGACCAATTACTCAAGTAATGAATTGACGATAATCTGGAATTTTTTCTTAACATGCAGTTATTATCCATATTATCTTCATTATTTGCTCCGTAAACTTACCCGAAACTCAATATACTTAAAAACTTAATTTTATTCAAATTATTATTCTCTCGACGTGCTTGAACGACCGATTAAGTCTTGTGTGTTAAAAAAAAGAATTCGAAAAACGTTAAGTTTAAGACATTAGAAAAAAAGGCATTATTGCGTGATCTCTCGGGAGTATTTCCCCATTTCCCTTAGGTTGGCTTTAACTTAAAGTCGATGCTATACACTCACTACTGTTGAAGAAAATGAGATGGGTGACGGGACCACGTAGCGTCGTAACTCAGTTTCTACGGTATCTTCTCGATCGACGGGCAAGAATACTTTATGCGAAACGTTTCGACGTCACCGCCACTTCGACAGCCGATAGAATAAGAGGATGAAAAAGTGGGTGATGCTTGAGCAGGAAGAAGAGAAGAAATAAAAACAGAAGGGAGATGAAGAAAAAAGTTAAAAGAAAAAAAACGTTGAGGTGGAGCAAACTTTAAGTATTCTATGCGTCGTGCGGACCAGGACTCGACGAGGGACGCTTCTTATACAAGATGGAGGATATAGATGGACCTTTAAACTCATACCACGACCAACCCTATCGTTACCCCACAACCACAGCATAGATAGAGAAGATAGGTACATATAGATATTATATCAGCTATGTCGCAGAAACCAACAACATTTCACTTCTTATTGGTTATGTATTGCAATCCACTTGTGTATAGCTGTGACATCGATGTTGGACATTTTCCGCATAAAATATTCATCTTCGAAGAGAGTCGCACAGTTGTTATATTTCATCAAATTGGAATGAAGTATAAGGAGTACTTTTAAATATTGATATCATATCGATATTTAAACGATTCTGAAAGTTTAAGTGATACTTTTGGTTGAACTTATATATTGCTCTAAATAAAAGTTTTTGTTTCTAATATATGAATTCAAATTTTGCAAAAAATATTTTAAATCAATAATTGTGGTAAGAAGAAATCATTTTAATAATTTCTTATAAGAATTTCATTTTTCCTGATTTTTTAAAATCATTCAAACTATATTCCGCGTTTGATTAAATGAATTATCTTTTTGAATTTTCAGAATCTTTTTTATAATAATAAATTTCATATTATTGAAGTATATAACATGTAGAATAGGGTGTGCCAAAATGTAACTTCGTTGAAAGTGGACCTCTTAAAATTGGAATTTTGAGTTCCGCTTTTAACAGGAGTTGTGTTTGGGCATTTCCTGACATATTTTGAGCGTAAAGGATTTATTTGATTTTTACAGAATTTTTTAACAGGAGTTTTGTTCGGCCAAATTTTGAAATTTTGAAATTCCAACAAAAATGGCCAAACAAAACTCCTGTTAAAAAATTCTATAAAAATTAAATAAATCCTTTACGCTCAAAATATTCTCAGTAAATGCCCAAACACAACTCCTGTTAAAAGCGAAACTCAAAATTCCAATTCCAAGAGGTCCATCAACGAAGTTACATTTTGGCACACCCTAATATAGAAGGTAAGGTATCGAATTATAATAAGTACCATCCATACTAGAAGGAACTAATCGAGAACCTAATTTTGGCTTAATAGATCATTTTTATTCCAGAAGTTGATAAAATTTGATAGAAAATCCGATCAAAATAACTTTTTTCAACAAAACTTCGTTCAATAATGTGGAGAATTAATTTAGCTGATATTTGATAATTTTAAGAATTTTTTTAATAAATAAATTATGTCAAAAAAAAAAAAATGAGTAAAAAAATTGACATGTAGAAATTTTAATAAATTAAAAATGCAATTCTTTAAAAATAATTTTTTGGAACAAATTTGTTTGTTAAATGAAATCAAAAAATTGTCAAGAGACAGCTAACTTTAATATCATTCAATAATGCCATAATACTTTTATCAATGAAATCGAGAGTAGATGATCTATCTATTGGTAAATCTATAATAAACTTTTGTTAATAAGTCATGAAATAAGCAGACTCCTGATCATTTTTTTTGAATTATTAATTCGATAAATTAGAAAGAAGAAAAGTATTTTTGAAAAATTTCACTTTTAATATTTTTTTATTTTATAAATGTGAAATTTATCGTTCAATTCAAATTTTTATAATAATTTGTTTATTGAAAACTATTCCGATGTTTTCTTCTATTCGTAATACTCATTGAAAAAAAACCAAAATAATTTTTTATAAATAATCCATGGAGTATCAGAGTATTTTATTATAAATTTTTATTTGTTGAGAAGAAATTTATAAAATTGCAATGCCTCTTAAAAAAAATATTCCAAAAATTATCGGGTGTTGTAATTTTTTTCATACTAAATCATGCTTTTTTTTAATGTTAAAAAATGAAAATTAATTTAGCATATATTTAATAATTTTAAAAATTCTTTAACAAATAAATGATGGCAGAAAAAATTATAAAAAAAAAAATTGACATGTGAAAATTTTAAAAAATAAAAAATGCAATTTTTTAAAAATGATTTTTTCGGACAAATTTTTCTGTTAAATAAAATTAAAAAATTGTTAAGTGACTGCTAGCTTTAATGTCATTGTTTAAAAAACCAATTTGGAAAAATCTCTCAATAAAAAACACTTACCTAGTAAAAAATTAACCTTTATTTTTCAATACTCAAAAATTTTAAAGAAATTGGTTAAATGTGCTTCCGTTTTGCTGGTTCTGCGTATCAATTAAAAAATTCACTACCGTTGTAGAAAAATTGTTTTTGTCAATAATGATGTGACCACTACATAATTTTTAAATTAAATATTTAAATATTGCAATTATTAGTTAAATATTAAAGAAGAAATGTGAAAACCGCTTAAAAATAACTTTTTACAAAAATGAGTGTCACTGAAAGAATCGTTTACTAATGTACTTACTATGTTTACTACAATAGATGTCTTTCCTTGCTCGGAGCGTCGGAGCGCATAACTGTTACATCTCCAGCTGCGCTGGAAGATTATAAACTTATCGGCTCGGCTGCGTCGGTAAAAATAAATGTCACACATCACGTGACAGCAATAATTATATAGATAGTGTTGTGTTGGCCCGTTGGCAGTTTCGCTGTCGGCTACAAACTACAAATTAAATTTATATACTTGGAGTTTTTAATAAATTAAGTAATTAGTAATTGTCCAGTCACTGGACTTTTGACATAAAATAATGTCATCATTATATAAATTTATTATTTATAAAATAGTTTTTTTATTACTATCTCAATGTTGTGTGTCGGAGGAAATTTTGGGATGTGGCGGCTTTATCAAAAGCCATACAAACATTGATTACTCCAAAGTACAGGTTAAATTGTGAGTGATAAAATTTTTTAATTATTAGATTAAAATTATAGTATAGTCATTATATTTCTTTAAAAATTTTTATTCGTAATATTAAATAATTGATGTGAAAAATTAACTTAATAAATATTTTACAGATTTACTAAATCAGGCAGTTTAAAAGATTACACTGAGGCTGCACCCAATACAGGATACTACTTTTTACCTTTATATGACAATGATAAAGGTGAATACATATTAAAGGTGATTCTAATTTTTTATTTTTTATTATATATTAAATTTATCAAGTTAACACAAAATTTAAGGAAAATAGATATAATAATACAGCAATAGTAAAATTTAACAATTATAAGTTAGAATAATGAAAATTTGAATAATACTAAGAGAAGAAAAATAATGAAACTGAAATCATCAAACATTTGACAATTGTTCGATACACTTTTATAAAAAATAATTTCAAAAATTCCACTTGCAGAAATCGAAAAAAGTATAAATGCAATTTTTAAATGAAAATTAACGTAGCACATATTTAATAATTTAAAAAATTTTATAACAAACCAATTATGGAAAAAAAAACTAACATCTAGAAATTAAAAAAAAATGCAAAATGCAATATTTTCTTGAACAAATCTTTTTGTTAAATAAAATTAAAAAATTATCAAGTGACAGCTAACTTTAATATCATAATTTTTAATTGTTTCTTACGATTAATTCATTTTTTAAACAAAACTAAAATGTAGTTAGGTGTCTGCTGATTTCAGTTTAAAAATATGTAATTTTTTATTTTTTTTTTTTTTACTTTTAATTCTTAAAAAATTAAAAAAATTGTCTCTTCTTATTGATTCTTTTAACACATATGAAATTCATATTACGAAGAATCAAAAATTGATTTATAATAAAATTGACAAATATCTGATAATTTTTAAATTTATTGCAAAGAAAATAAAAAAAAAAAAAAAATTCAACTCATCAAAATTTCAAAAAATTATACATAGATTTTTTTTTGTTTTTTTCTCTATACTTTTTACTTTTTTTTAGTTCTTGTTTATTTTTTGAGTTCTTGTTTACTTTTTTGAGTTCTTCTTTACTCTTGTAATTTTGCAATTGGCTTGAAAGAGACCATATTATTATTATAATTATAATTATTATTTTCATTCTCGTTAATGTCATTTTTATGATCATCAATATTACTGCTTATTATATTATGTATTACTTTTTCTTTGCTTATTGTAAATGGTACACTCTGTAAAAACAAATATTGAGTCTTGGCTGTTATGAGACTGTAGTCCTGCGGCCAGTTAAATAAATGCATTACATTACATTAAACTATCAAAATATAAACAGTTCCCAATATCGTATCAAAATATAATATAAAATAATTAAACAGGTTGAACCACCTCGAGGTTGGAGTTTCGAGCCTACGGAAGTTCGTTTAGTAGTAGACGGAGTAAATGATTTGTGCAGTCAAGGTAAAGACATCAATTTCAAATTTAACGGCTTTGGTATTACTGGAAAAGTAATAAGTCAAGGATCCAACGATGGACCCACTGGTGTCACCGTATCGCTGTATAAAAGCACCAATCGCGATGTAGTTGAACGAGTCACAACAACATCACAGGGCGGTATTTTTTCATTCACTCCAATCCAACCGGGTAAATACGTTCTGGTAGCTTCTCACCCACACTGGGCATTTGAGAAAAACACTGTAGAAGTCACAGTACGAGAAGGTAACACTGAGTTACCGAATAACAGTTTAATAATATTCGGGTATGATGTCAGCGGGCAGATAACCAGCGAACCCGAAAATCAGCCAGTCGTAGATGTTTCAATTTTACTGTTCGGTACAGGAAAAATAAAAAATTGCAAGACACCAGTGATCAGTGAAGGTAACGCGGAAAATGGCAAAGCTTTGTGTCAAGTCAAGTCCGACAAAAATGGTAAATTTAAGTTCTCATCCGTGTCAAACGGTGATTACACTTTTGTGCCATACTTTGCTAATTTCCAAACAAAATTTGATGTTGAACCAGCTAAAGTACCGTTCAAAGTACATCACAATGACTTGATAGTGTCAGGAACATTTAAGGTAACAGGTTTTACAGTCGCTGGTCGCGTAATGATGGATAAAAATACACCACTGGCTAACGCTAGAGTTTTTTTGTCGGGTAAAGAAGTCGCTAAAACTAATTCAAATGGTGCTTATACAATTGACAAAATGAAAGCTGGCCAGTACTCATTAAAAGTAGAGGCCAATGATGTTCAATTCGATGAACAAACCGTTAAAATATCACCAAGCGAGCATCATTTGCCGGATATTCTGCCTTCATCTTACAAAGTATGTGGTTCTGTGACTCTGTCAACCAAAGGAACTCTTCACCACCGCAAAATAGTTATTGAAAATGCTGGTAAAACATTTAAGCGCGAGGTTGAAACTGATCCTCAGACTGGCCAGTATTGTCTGTACCTTGTGCCGGATAATTATCAAGTAAGTGTAATTGTGACAGCTGAAGAAAAAACCAAAGGCCTTCAATTCTTCCCAATTCAACAAACCATCGAGGTGTCCAGTAAAACAATTAGTAATATAAATTTCTTACAATTAAAAGCCACCCTTCTAGGATCTGTCGCGTGTTTGAAGAATTCTGACTGCAGCAAAGCTTCTGTAACTTTAAAAGTTCTTGACGGAGTTACCGTTCAAACAATTCCTATTAAAGATGGACGTTACGAATTCACAGAAGTACTTCCAGGTCATTACGAAGTTTTGATTGACACAGATGTTTTCTGCTGGGAGAATCCAAGCCATCGAGTTCTGATAACATCAGAACGGGCTGAAATTCCCGTTTTTAAACAAACTGGATTTTCAGTTACATTTATCTCTTCTCACGACTCTGCGGTAGAATTCATCGATCCCGTTAAAGGAAAAAAAGTAGCTCTGACTCTACCTCTTGGTAGTACGAGACACTGCGTATCAAGCCCTGGTGAGTATAAATTCATCCCCAAAAGCTGTCACGTCTACGCAAAGGATTCATACACTTGGGACACTAAGACCCAACAGCCAATTATTCTATCGTCAACCGAACACAGACACCGAGGTAAGATAATCAGCAATGCAGGTGTTGACAATGTCAAAATAAAAATAGAATCTGGCGGTGACTCAACTACTTTTGGTCCGCTTAAGTACGACAAGACTGGAGACAGTTATCGTTACATTTTTGAGTTTAATGCTCACACAGACTCTACTTATGTTATCACACCGATATCTGACATCATGCTGTTTAATCCTTCCTCTCTAAAAGTCGTCGGAAGCAACGATTGCCACAATGACGTCGCGACGTTAGTAGGAAACCTAGGAAAAATCGTTAGCGGAAAAATATCTCCAGCTCTTGAAGGAGTTACCATCCAAATTTACGGTAAAGACAAAAGCTCGCCTGTCCACACGCTGGTTACTCAAAAAGACGGAGCTTATCGTATCGGGCCGCTTGACGGTACAATTGAGTACAGTGTCACTGCTGAAAAAGTGGGATACGCTATCAGTGGGCCTGACGCTAACGGAGTTTTTTCAGCACACAAACTCGCTGAGATTATTGTCGAGGTGACAGACCAAGCTGATGATTCCTCTCTGCAAGGTGTTCTCTTGTCATTATCTGGTGGACAGAGCTACCGTAAAAACAGCATCACGCCTGAGCAAGGCCAGCTGTCGTTCAACTCTCTGTCTCCAGGAGAATACTACCTAAGGCCAATGATGAAAGAGTACAGATTTGATCCTCCGTCTAAAATGATCACTGTGACAGAGGGCGCGACTCTCCGGGTTAAATTGTCCGGTAATCGAGTTGCGTTCAGTGCTTACGGAGTAGTGACTTCTCTTAACGGCGAACCTGAACCTGGTTTGATCGTAGAAGCTCAGGGTCAAGGAGACTGCTCAAATCTTCAAGAAGAAGCGACTACTGAAGAGAATGGAAATTTCAGAATCAGAGGACTCCAACCTACTTGCATGTATATAATCCGTTTGAAACCGAATACTGAAGTTAATGCCCACATTCACCGAGTCTCTCCGAGCTCTATTGCTGCCCAAGCGACTGAAGACATCAGCAAGCTTCGTTTCGTCGCTTTCCATCCGATCTCACGTACAGACTTGGCCGTACGTGTTTTCTCCGACCCACCCGAGCATTATCGGACTCTTAAAGTTAAGCTTTGTCGTGAAGATCAACCGGACTCGCCTATTCACACCGCTAAAATAGATCCGCAACAAGCTAATAAATTTACGAGCCACAGCAATCCTGGATTTTTAATCCACTTGCCATCTTTGCAATCAAATGGCCGTAAGTACTTTGTTCAATTGGACACTTCACTGTCTTCATCGATGTACAAGTACAGGATAGTTCCTAACTACTTTGAAGCTAACACTTCTTTTAAAGCTATCACCCTGAATTTTAATGCTGAACGTAAAATTGATCAGGGAGAAATGAGTCAGTCCTCGATACTGGCTCTGCCATTTATTATGATGGTTGCACTGGCGTTTTTGAATCGTGATAAATTATGGAGTTGGTTGAATTCCGCTGTTGATTATTGGAGTAAACCGACTCTAGTGTCAAGATCTTCTCAGCCTGTTGCGCCGATTGATCCTCGGGCTGATGATATTATCGTCGAACAAATAATGAATATCAATAAACGTAAAACAAAACCTCGTAAGACTTAAGTTCTAGCAATTAGCAATTAATTGGGATTTTTAGAGTTAGTAGGTCAATTAGTGAAGAAAAATAAAATGACTAGTTTATTTTTTATCACTAATTTTTTAGCATTGAAGGCAACTTATTCTAAAAATCCCAATTTATCATTTAAATAGCTCATTAATCATCAATACTCTTTGGTTTATTTTTTACTGTGACTTGTTAAAAACTTACATTGTACAATAAGTATTTTTTTGTTTTGATATTCCACATATTAGTTATCAAAGAGCTTAAATGATGATTATATTGTATACTTATAAAAATACGTTAAAGACTTGATATATTAAGTTAAATAAAATGAAAATAAGTTGTTTAAATATGCCATTTTACAATGATATATTTTGTGAAAGAGTGTCTACGTGTGGTAAAATGTTTTAGATAATTTAAAAAGTAAAAATTTATATATAATGAATTGTAAATAAATAATGAAACTAATTTACAGTATAGAGTAATTATTTATTTTGTTTTCTTCCATTAATCTAGGAAATAAGTAATTAAATTTATAACTCGATCCTACACATAAACAATTGTCGATCTGGATATTTTATTTATATTAATGTGAAAAGATATTTAAAGAATGAAGTAGGTCTCAGGGTTTGAATTGTACAAACACTTGGTAACTTCATAAGACAAATCACAGAGATCGCCTTCTTTTCCCTCTGTAAAATTTATTTTTTATTGTAGTTTTTTATTTTTTTCAAAAGATTTATTTAAAATACTTACTTGTTTCACGGCACTCTTTGATCATTTTAGCCGCAGATTCTTTCATTGATGGAGGAGATAAAGCTAACATTGCGTCAAAGTTAATTCCACGTTTGCTTACTAGTCTGAATTGATCAAAAATACATTTCAAGTAACACTTCAATTGAGGATCATCGGTGAATTCTCCTTTTGCAGCTTTGTTAATCAAATCTGTTTAAAAAATAATATTTTTTGAAAATTTTTTATTGAAAAGCAACAAAAAAAAAATTGAAAAGAAGAAAAAAAAATTACCTTCACTAGGAATTCCCGATTCTTTTACACACGCAGCACGAATTGTTGGCTGGACATCTAAAAATTCCTCTGGAACTGGCTGAAATTAATAATTAAACATTTAAACAATTAAATTAATTAAATATTAAATTGAAATATAAAATAATGTATAACTTACTCCAGATTGAACGTAAGCAACCAAAAGTAAAATATTGACAAAGCTCAACAAAAATTTAGCCATTTTCGACTTATAGAAATATAACAGTGGATATAGTCGTAGCTGGAACCTGCCGTGAGAATGATTAGTTTTTCCGCGAGTTAGAGCAATTTATAAATTACTCTAGACACTGATTATTCCGTAAGCTGCGACATGATCATTTAGAGATCAGCAGGTCATCATAAAAAAAATATTTATTCTTCGAACTTTGGATTTATCGTGACAGAATTAATATTTTTTCTATTCTTCAGGAAATATAAAATTTATTCGTAACATAATTATACAGATTTTTTTTTTATAAATTAAATACACATTAAAATCTTTATTACTCATAAAAATAATTACAATTGATACAATTATTTTTTTTATGTTATAAAAAAGTATTTCATTGCAGAATTACTTTACAATTGTCAATAACGTAATGATCAACATTGATAATTTTCCTTTAAGTTATTTAACTTGTGAATCATAGCTATTAGCATGGATTCATTTGTTGGTGAAAAAAAATATTTTTACGCAGTATGCTAGTAAAAAAAAAAGCTTATAATCTGTTGATTAATGTCTATTGAATTTAATTATTAATAAAAAAATCAAATCACGTGTACGTTATACGACTTTAATTATTAATAAAGTTATAAACATATATTACACCATTATGATTTTCTTGTTATTAAACAGATAATTGATTGAGTTTCAATATTGTTTAGTTATATTTAAATAAAATTCCAATTATTTATAATTGTCTTCAGTCATAGTAGAATTTAAAATAAGTAATACGTCTGAAATAAAAAATATTTATCACGTAATTAAATATTGCACAGATTGTCTGTGATTTAATAAATAAATTAATTCTTGTACGAACCTTGGGTGATATTTTTGCGTAACATAAGTTAAATGTATACGCATATTGACAATTGTCTCCATTAGCTAAAAAATAAATACAATATATTAATAAATATAACGGGAAAAAATTGTAATTTTTATTTTTAATACACTAAAAATGTAGTTTAAATTTACCTAAATATTTACCAACTCCTTTGCACTCACGAATAGCTTTTTGAACTTCAGCTCTGTATGCTGGTATTCTTTGGAAAAATGTTAGCATTCCGTTGAGACTCAGCTCACCTTTGGTATCAATTAATCCAAATTGTTCCCAGAGACAATACATGTAACACTAAAAAAATAAATACTCATATTAGTTTAAATAATTATTTTGTAAAAAAATAATTTCAAATTAAAGTTTTTTTTATAACAGAAGAAAATGAAAACAGATTTTTACAACAAACGGATTTATCCTTGAATTTGTTATTGAATTTAATTTCCAATGATTATAAAATTTTTTTTAGTTTACTATAATAAAACTGTTTAACTTTTATAATTTTTATAAGCTTAAACATTAATTTTATAGTCATGAAAAAATTAAAAGATAATAGCTGATAAAAAAAAAAATTTTTTTATTTTGAAGACTCAGATATTGAAGATTTTAATTACTTGGTAAAATTTTTTAAGTAAGAAGTATTTTTGAAGAAAAAAATAAAACTTTCCATTTCTTAAATAATGATACATAAAAAAAAAAAATGAAAATCAAGTTAGCTGACATTTCAAAATTTTTAGAAATTTTTTATTGAAAAAATTCCAATTAAACAATTAAAAAAAAAATTTCACATGTAAAAAACTTGAAAAACTATAAGTGCAATTTTTTAGAAATATCTTTTTAGTTGTAATTTAATTAAAAAAAAAAAAATCAAAAATTTTTAGACGTCTGCTAACTTCCGTGTGATAAAAAAAATTATAATTGCAAGATACATCACAGGAGCTATGTGAAGTGACAACAATCATATTATTACAGTTATTATTTACTTTTAATTGGCGAGACTCTGGCCACTCTCCATTTCTTACAGCTTCGATGTCCGCTGAAAAAATAAAAAAAATGTACTAAAAACAATCTAGTATTTAAATGTAAATAAAATTACCTGTAGCCACGCCTGTTTGTCTTTGACATGCATTGACGACACTCGCAGCCATGGCAATCATCTCATCAGTCACGAAACTGGGTCGCGACTGCAAAAATTATCCAACATGAATCATTAGATTTTTTTTTATTTAAGTTAACAAAAACAAGATTTTACTATGAGAATAATTTTATAAAAAATGATTAATACTAGTAATTATAACACTTATCACTATTCACAAAACTATATTACTTAAGCGAAATAATTTAATGCCGGATTAATTTATTTTTATTTTTTCTTCTTTTTAAATAATAAAAAACTCTTCGACTGCCGTTAGAAATTTTAATATTCGTTTTTGATAATTTATTTTTAAATAAAAAGATATCTTTTATTTCAGTTGTAAAACCTACCCCACAGAAAACTGATGGAATAAAAATACAAATAATAAATAAAAATTTCTTCATTTTTTCCGATTATTTTTTGCTCACAATATATTTATTTTTTATTTCAACTAATAGAGATTTTTAAAATTCTTTATTAATTTATACAAAGGATAAAAAATAAAATAAATAGTAAATTCCACAGCAAAAAAAAGATCTGACTTGACCCCTCGCTAAACTAGGAGTGAGCTAGTTCGCCAGTGGTTTCAAATCGTGGCTTCTGCATGGCCTAAATTGATACAAAAGTATTATCAATTCCATCAAGGGTGAGATCAGTCGACTGGTCAGCTCACACATTATCATCATCATCTAGATGAGTGAAATTAAATTACCAATAAACCAGTCAAAAGGTATAATCAATGATACAATAAATCAGAGTAAATCGACGGCAGTGTCTGTAATTTATTTAATACTAAAAGATATATATATATGTGCATGATCTTACAGCATACCTAGTTCAATTACATTTGCAAAGTAGTAAAAAATAATAAATTAAAAATTTGAATTATTTAGGCCAAGCATCTGTCTATTACCTATGTATACATCATTTAATGCCGAGCATTGACCCTCACAGATTTGATCACATCAACGGATATTAGTACTTTAGAGTACAAGCATATTCTGGGCCGCTCGTTTAATTTATTATCGTCTCTGGAGCATTATTGTTTTTATTGGATCGCTTCTTCAATAATATGTACACCGATCTTTGATGTATACTATTTCTTTTTTGGATTTTTAACTTGTTTACTTATATGTGGAATACTTTTAAAAGCTGTAAAATGCAAGTTCAAAGTTTTTATAATTGATCCAAAAAATAAAAAAAAAAATAATAATAATGACGTGTTCATTTATTTAGCAAAGAATAGTGAAAATATATAAAAAAAATTTTTAATTTTCTTAACGGGAAGTTAAAAAGTTTCATCTTTTTACTAATAATTAAATTTATATATATAAATTGTCATGAAATTTATATCATTTTGTATTTTTGTTCTAAGAATTTCATTAAATTTTGAATCTTAATTATCAATTGTTATAGAATTTTAAATTTATAAATTACAAAACTTTTGAAAAGGGCATAGCCGGATTAATATGGGAATTCTGCCCCCATGGCTTTTTTTACTTATACTTAGGGGGTCGATTTGGTGTGGAATGAAAATAATACACGTAAATTTTTAGCTCTTTAACTCAAACGGAATTCGAGAATTTCGAAAAAACCTGTTTTTTCAAAATTATTTTTATTTTTATAGTAAAATTCGGAATTATTTAATGATGATTTTTTTCCTGATTCTTAAGAGTCCAAAACATAAAAAAATCATATGATCATGATTCTCAAACAGAAAGCCGATTTTTAACGGTGACAATAAAATTATATATTTTTTTTTTTAACCTTCTTGTAATATGTCACACCAAAATTCGTCAGAAAATGTCGTTTATACTCCTTTATACTCAAGAATTTTTTTGAATTTTTTTAAGTGGTGGAACAATTAAAAAAAAATTAAAAACTCATTTTTTTCTCAAAATCTTGCATTTTAACAAGCTTACATTTTTTTTAGTACACATAAATATGTAGAAAATTTTTTTTTTTATTTAAAATTATTATTTTTATTTTTTCTGTATCAAAATTCAAAATATTTTCCAATAGTATGAAAAAATATATAAGTATTACCTTTAAGTGTCTTTTGAATCATTAATAACTCTTCTAATCACTTAAATTTAACCTACTGATTCTTTCTGTTTATCTTTTGCGAAGATATATTTTAGTAAAAAAAAAATTTTCTTACGTATTTTTTGCCATGGGTGCTGAATTCCCATATTAATCCGGCTATAGCCTTTCATAGAATTTTGGAAAATTCAAAACTTGTATTTATAGGCTTGAATTACTTTTTAGAATTAGAATTTTTTTATAAAATCAGATCCGATTAAAATTTTCAAAATTTATTATTTTAATAACTGAAATTTTTTAAAGTTGATTAAAAAGTATTTTAACTAATTTAAAAATTTTTCAAGCTAAATTTAACTCCACTGAGATAATTTAAAAACATGTTTTTTTATAAAAATTTATAATTCTTCTTTCAACAGATTAAATTTTTCACAATTTGCTCTATTATCAAAGTTGTAAACTAAACAACTAACATTTATTTAATACTGTTTTTTGTAACATAATACCAAAAAACTTTTTCAAATAATTATATTGTGATTGGTCTATAATTTATTCATTTTGCAATTCTTAAAAACTTATAAATTATATGAAAATTAAGTTAGCAGATATTTAATAATTTTTATAACTTTTGTTAACAAATAAATTACAGCAGAAAAAATAAAAATTGACATTTAGAAATTAAAGAAAATTTTAAATGCAATTTTTTTATAATTAATTTGTTAAATAAAATAAAAAATTTTTCAAGTGTGACAGTTTAACTTTAATGTCATATAAATTATATCTCTTAATTTTTTAATATATAAACTAAATATTTCATTATAAATAGTTTATTTATCTGAAATAAAAATATAAATTATTATAAGTTATTATTAAATGGAATAGTGTTAATTTTTTAATGAATATTAAACAATTTTTTCCGTGCATACATAATAATTAAAATCTCCACTGGTGGGAATAGTTTCGACAGACTGTACATCGAATCAAAAGTTTCACACATTCAGCCCACTGAACTGGAATTGACGTCGTAATTTAGACCTCAAAAACAAGATCAATTAATAAAAAGTTAAATAATCTCTGCAATAAAAATAAATATTTTTCAGTTGTTTATAAATATCCTTAAAATAAATAAAATACTCTCAAGTGTAATAATAAATTAACAGTTAGTTAAAAAATAAATGTGTATCAAGTGCAAATGCAAACGGTCAAAATAATTTCCACAGACTGTACAGCTGAAGTTGTATTGACTGCTGGAAAAGGTTTTTTTTTCTGCCTAAATGAATTAAACAAAATATCTTCTGTCATGTTAAATTCAATGCAGTTTATTTATTTACATTAGTGGTTATTGACAGTTCAATTTGAAAATAATTAAATGTGTAACAAGTGGATTTTAAAGTTTGGTTGAGGTAATAATATAAAAGTGCCTCGGAACAATTTTTTATGGTAATGCAAAAAATGTTAATGATCAACACAAAATTACTACAATCTAATGGTGTCTTTGTACGAATATCCATAAATTATGGTTATTAAATAACAATTAGTTATTACTGATTGAAAATTAATATCGCAATTAATAAATAAAATCAAACAATCAAGCTCAACAATTGATTTTGTTTGTATAACCTGTAATAAATATATATTTAAATGACAGTTTGGCAACCATGTTGTCCAGCGTCACGTGATTTTTTAAGGATTTTAGCGCGAAAATTTGGAACTAAATTTATCACAGGCCGACACACTCATTTTAATTTTTGCAACAATGGGTAAAACAAGAGGAGTACATGAAACAACTCCAGAGCTGAGAAATCGTATGGTTGGAATGTATGAAGCTGGTTTAGGATTACGAGAAATTGCTGCTGCTGTTAATTGTTCTGTAAGAATTTTTTTTATTAAATTTTATTAAGCATATATTTAATAATACTAAAGTTAGCCGACGATTTTAATTTTTTTTAATAGTTAAATTAGAACAAAAAAATATTTTTTAAAAATTGCACTTACAGTTTTTAAAATTTTTTACAAGTGAATTTTTTTTTTTTTAATCATTTTTTCAATAAAAAAAAATTTTTAAATGTCGGCTAACTTAATTTTCAATAATCTGAAGAATTTTATAACAAACGCATTTTATATGGCAAAAAAAAATTGACATGTAGAAATTTAAAAAAATTAAAAAATGCAATTTTTTTAAAATGATTTATTGGAATAAATTTTTTTGTTAAATAAAATTAAAAAATTGTGAAGTGACTGCTAACTTTAATGTCCTATTTTTTTTTTTTTTTATATATTCAGTTATGTTTATTTATTATTGCTAATTAACTTAATTTTATTTAGCAAAGAACAGTAAAGAGATGGTTGAATCGTTTTGATAAAGAAGGAACAGTAGAAACTAGAGAAAGATGCGGTAGAAAAAGAGCGACAACTACTGAACAAGATGCAGCGATCGTAAGACTAGCAACACAAACACCAATCACAGCAGCTAAAGCAGTTCTTCCAGCTTTGGGGCTGACTTGTTCGGTGGATACGATCAGAGAGAGACTTCATAAAGCTGGAATTCATAATTGGAGTCCATCCAGAAAACATATTCAGAAGATTCCTCTTGGGTTTGTTTATATTAATTTAATTTGTTACTATAACTTACTTCACTTGTCTTCCCTAATTATTAACAACTTAATTTTGTAACTAGAGACGTGGATGGAGCTGCTATTCAGCAGGCAGTGTGGCGTCCTACAGGCACTTCATTGGGTAAAAAGAAGAGCCAGAAACCCGATGAAAGTGTTAAAAAATCTGGAGCTGTTATTAAAAGGAAAGTTTTAAAAAGAAGAGCCAAGCCTGCAAGTAATAATACTGATACTGAAGAATCTGCAGCATCAAAACAGTCGCAAACTGAAGAACCGCAGCAGTTACAGCAACAAGATCAGTTGAATTCATCTTTTAACTTCCAGCCGGACAATTTTAATCAAGTACAACCTCGGAGCGATGAAAGTCCTCAAATGCAAGCCCCCTCGCTCATGAATAGTCAACCGGAGTTCAACAGCGCCCTCAGTCTAGTAGTCTCACCTCAATCAATGTATCAGCACCACTCTGGCGTGGACGTGACGCAAAACTGGCCTCTGGATTTAGGGCAAAATCCACACCATTATCCTCAAAGTCAGCCTCAAAGTGTTGCTCTTCATCAGCCGTCTTCCCAGCAACATCTTCAGGAGCTTCACACACCCCAAGAACAAGAGCAGCGCGCACACGAGCAACATATGCAAGAACACAACCAGTCTATCCAACAGCTTCACCATCATCAACCTCAGCACCATCTCCATCATCATCCCTTCGATGAGCCACATCATCAGCTAGACCAAATTCAGTCTCAGCTATCGCTGGAGCCTATCAGAGAGCCCAGCAAAGTGGTGCGCTCGAATAGCTGCTCGAATTCAAGCATCGATAATAGTTCTGACGGCGATGGCGAGCTGAATAATAAAGATGACTACGACCACAGTCGCTCGAGGAAAAAGAAAGGAGGCAAAGCCAAAGGGACGCTTGAAACTTCCGTTGAAATTCGAAATAGAATGATTGGAATGTCCGAGGCTGGGTTGTCTACACTCTCAATCGCTTTGGCGATAAACAGATCTGAAAGGACCGTCAAAAGGTGGCTGGAACGTTGGAACAAAGAAGGCAATGTCCAGACAAAGGAGAGAAAAGGACGCAGAAGAATTACAACCAAAGAGCAAGATGAGGCAATTGTTGCAATGGCTACACAGAATCCACTGACTGCAGCTAAACACGTCGCTCCGGCTCTCGGTTTGAATTGCAGCGTTGATACTGTACGGGAGAGGTTACACAAAGCTGGAATTCACAGTTGGAAGCTGGGTAAAAAGCAGGGTGAAGGTAATGTTGTGCATACTGTTCATCTTTGGCAGCCCAGCGGCAACCGACCCAACAAACTAAAAATAACGAATAACGATAGCAATGAGAGGAAAAAGAAAGGATTGGTTAAAAAAGTCAATGGTGGGTCTAGTAATGTTAAACGTACGTCGAATAATAATAATTATAAAAAGAAGAAGAAAAAGACTGATGAAGGACCAAAAAATTTAACAACAACTACCGGCAGCGTTGTTCAAGAGCAAAATCAAATTCAGCAGTACCATGACAATGGTGGTATGACTTATCCTTCGGCGCAAAGTATCATGCAGCCGGTTCATGTTTCTCAAGCTCAATCGTTAGTACCTCAACAACCACCAATTCCTGCTCCACTTGTTTCTATTCCTCCTCCACCTCCTCCTCCTCCTCCTCCTCCTATTGCTTCTGTGCTTCCTCCGGCAACATCTGTTCCTCATTCGATGCAACCACTGGGCTCTATTATGCAACGACCTGATTGCCGCATGATTTCATCTATTCCTAATACACAAAATTCCGGCATGATTGGCTACTCCTCCTGTATGATTGGTAATAACAATCACATGGATCATCAGCCTGATCCACTTAATTATGAGCCGTTTATTTGGACATTTTAATATTGTTATTTTTTTATTAATTTTATTTATAATGATCTCGACTTTTTTATTCCTAGAATAGTTATTATTTGTATGTTTATTTTTTATATGATTAGGTGTATAGATATTTTTACAGTTGATAAAAATGCTTTATTTTAAATCATTTTTTGTTGACTATTGTTAATTTTTCACTTAAGGGGGAAAATACATGTACAAGGCTGTTTTCATTCATTTTTTTTAAGGTATAAAAAATTAATATTATTTATTGAAACTATCAGATTTTTTTATACATATATTTATGAGTATTTTTACGTATCAAGCAACAATATAAGTTAACAAATAGCGGAGATATCTGTTGATACACATCGTAGGTTGTCATCCGACTTAGCAGTCTGTGTGCAGCATGGAAGCCACAATTTTTATTTGAAATCAATGGCACAGAAAAATTACTTCATTTATAATGTGTATCTTCCATATGAACTTCAATTCCACAAAAAAAGTAAAAATTTTCATTTTTTAGAGGGCTGTGAAATTAAGTCGTGATTTTTTACCACTTTTTCATACATTGTTTATTAAAAAAAAAATAGTTTAAATAAAAATATCGCTTTCGACTGAGGTTCATATTCAAGGTAATTGTACAAAGAAAATTATAACTGATGCACACAGTTTTGAAAAAACTCGTTTCGAGAAAAACGCGTTTGAAAAAAAAGTGACAGAAAAAGTTAATGCAAAATAGTATTAAAGTAATTACTAAATCGCTTATAACTTTTAAACGAATAGAAATTTTTACTTTAAATTTTCAATCTATATTTTTGAATAGATTTATAAAAAAAAAAAAAATTGAATTTTTTTAAGCCTGTACACGTATTTCCCCCCTTAATGACATTGAATTGAATATAAATAAATTTAAATGATACAATGACAGTATACGACAAAAATGAAAAATTAAGAGTAGTTAACAAGAATTAATTAAAATGAAACTTTTGTATCAATTATACAATAATTATAATTAATTGAACTTCCTATGGAATTTGAAGTAAAATATTTCCAATTTTTTTTTATATGTATATTGATGTGAAAACAGTACAAATTGGTATATTTCAATTCATTGGTATTAAATACAACTGATGATGAATTAATTATTTTTAAAACATTTATAAAATGTATTTTATATTGATATTTTTATTTTTTTTTTTGTAAATTTAATTAATTCAATTTTATTACAATAAAATGTGTAAATATTTACATATCAATTATCAATTACATTTTTTTTACGTAACAAAGTTTTAACAGTTTCAAAAGTTGATAAAATTTTCCAAATAATTCTGTGTATCAACCACTACATTGATGTATAATTTATGTAGTAGATGTGTGAGTATTAAACAGTGATAAATACTACGTGATAATTTTTTATATCAATAAAAAAAAAAAAAAAAATAAAAATAAAAACAGTTTTAAAAAATGCCGCAGTAAACTTGTATTTTTTTGTATTAAGTAGAACTCAATACAAATAATAAATGAATTGCAAAAATAACAATAATTATTACTTCGTTAATTCCCATATTTGTGAGATGTTAGTTAATACTTGTTTCGGGTCATTTTTATAAAACATAAAAAATCCTTGAATTTGTGCTGGACTGACGTCTTTTCCTTGGCTAGTTACACCCTCAGCAAACTCTTGAGCTAACTCAAGAGCTTCTAATTTATTAGGGCCGCGGTAAAACCGTAAAAACATTTGTTCAACTTGATTTTTATTGCAGTAACCAATGTATTCTTTTACGTCAACACGCCCAGGTCTCACAAGCGCAGCGTCTAATTTTTCTTTGTAATTAGTAGTCATGAATAAAATACGAGCTTCTGTAGAAGCTACACCATCAAGACAATTAAGTAATCCGCTCATTGTCAGATTATTTAGTCCTTCGTACGCAGTTTTAACTAAAAAAAAAAAAAGTATCCATTTTTCATGTTAAGTATTTATAAATCTATTTATAATTTAATAATTATAATAACTACCTCGGTGGTTCTCTTCAGAACGATCTCGGAAAGCAGCATCAATATCTTCAAGAAGAATAATCGTCTGCTGCGGCGCAACAGCAAGAAGATGATTTAAACGATCATCCGTAAGTCCTCTTTCAGACAAATTTAATACACAGATACCTCTTTCTAGTTCACCAGCAAGCGCAGTAATGAATGACGATTTACCGCATCCAGGTGGCCCGTAAAGCAAATAACCACGTCGATATGGAATTCCTGGATAGTAAAGTAGTAATATTTTGATGTAAGAAATTTTTAGAGATCTTTTAGTTAATTTATTGACGTCTGTAGATACTTTACACCAAACAACCTCGATCGCTGTACCATCCAGGATTATTTATAAATTCCTTGCAGTCACTGAGGATTCTTGTAGCTATTCCATCGCCTAGTACTACGGAATCTACTGGACGTTTTTTCCTTGGATGACCAAATTGCCTCCACTCGCTTCCTAATGCAGTATACATTATTGTTTTGCCTTCATGCTCTTTTAGCGCCATTTGACGAGCTAAAGTGGTTTTTTTTTTTATTAATTAATTAATAACAATCATTAATCTTATATTATTGTCACGTTATAATGAAAATAGTTGCAGTACCTTCTTCCAGAATTTCGAAGTAAATTGTTCTATCATTACCAAACGCTGTTAATTGAACAGTTTCCCATGGAATTCCCATATGAAGATCTAGGGTCTGTTGCTCTCGTGTTCTTTGAACTTTTATCCAATTCCCTTTGTACCTTTTCAATTAAATTAAAGTAAAAAACTAAAATATTATCAATTATGTTAATGTTCAAATTGTTTAAAAAAGTTTTTTGACGTCTGATGTTTTTAACAAGATTGATGATTAATTAATGAAAATTAAGTTAGCCGACATCTAGAAATTTTTATAATTTTTTTTTATTAAAAAAATTATTACAAATAAATAAGAAAAAAAATTTTCATTTGTAAAAAACTTGAAAAACTTTAAGTGCAATTAAAAAAATATTTTTTTGTTCCAAATTAATAAATAAAAAAAATTAGAAACGTCGGCTAACTTTAGTATTATGATTAATGACAATAAAGATAGCCGACATTTAAAAATTTTTAGAATTTTTTTTATTGAAAAAATCATTACAAAAAAAATTTTTTTTTTAATTTTATTTGTTAAAAATTTCAAAAATTGTAAGTGAAATTAAAAAAAAAATTTTTTTAGTTTTAATTTAATAAATTAAAAAATAATAAATGTCAGCTAACTTTATTATTATTTTTGATTAATTAATAAGATTTTTTTTTTATGAATATTATATTTAAATTATAATTACTTGAAAAAATGAGTACCAATACTTGGAATAAAGTCGTATTTGGTATTGACATGTCCAGTATCTTTTAATTCAAAGCTTGTTTCTACAGATAAGTGTTGAGTTTTACGAGCACCTTTGTGGGTGATCCATTGAAGTAACCATTGATAACTTTTATCACGACATGGAACTTCTAATGTGATCATGTAATGACGTCTAGAAAATAAAATGTACTTATTATAATTGTTATTAGACATACTAGATAAAAAAAAAATAATTACTTGAAAAGAATAGTCGCAACTTGGGATCCTTTTCGTAGAAAAGCTGCTCCAACTCCTAAGCTAGCTAAACCAAAACCGGCTCCAAAATAAGGATTATCTGATAATGTTTGTATATATTCAATTATTGTCATCTTCACTTATTTCTGTCCGAAAAAAGAGTAGTAAAAAAAAAATTCAACTTGTCACAGAAAACTTTTTTTACTTTTAAAATCAATTGTTATATTTAAAAAATTCGAAAGCAAGTTATAACCTAATACACATGCTATTGCGATCGATTATGACACTATCACATGGTTCATCGTCATGGCATTTGTTTTACTGAGCATTGATAACAAAGTAATTGAATTTTCATTTTTAAAAAATGTTTTTTATTAATTTTTTTTTTAATCAAAAACATCAATAGACAAATTAAAAAATATGCATTTATCGATTTTTGGACTTTAATTGCTATCTATAAATTTTTTCAACACAGTAAATTATTCAATTATAAATTACAATATTCTTTTTTTTATATTAATATTTATAAATCAAACTTGTCATTTTTATGAGTCCTATTATAGAAGAGCAGGGAAAGTATCATAATGCTAATAATGAATAATATTTACCCAAAAGATTAATTCTTGATAAGAATTCAAGCATTCAATTTTTAATAAACCCAATTATTCAGTTACTTAAAATAAGCGCAGAAATTTTTTTTGCTTATCTTTAACAATTTTTCTTGTTAACACTTCCATATTTTAAATATTCACCTGAAAAATTCAATTAATACATATTAAGTTAAAAATTTAAATGAAAATATTATGCGCGTTCATAATGACATTACAATTAGAAGAAAATTGATTTAGCAGATATTTGATAATTTCAAAAATTTCTGTTACAAATAAATTATGGCAAAAAAAATTGACATGTAGAAATTTAAAAAAATTAAAAAATAAGTAATTTTTTAAAAATAATTTTTCAGAACAAATTTGTTTGTTAAATAAAATTTAATAATGTTCAAGTGACTGCTAACTTTAATGTCATTACAATTAGCAGACACTTGACAATTTTTTAATTTTTCTTAAAAAATAAACTAGGTCTAGAAAATTATCAAAAAAAAATTTTATTTATAATTTTTTTGAGCTTGTAAATATAGAATTTTTTTAATTAATTTTTTTTTGCTTATAACTCATTTGTTAAAAAAATTTTAAAAATTATCAGATGATACTAAAGTTAGCCGACGTTCAAAAATTTTTCTAACAATTAAATTGCAATTAAAAATATACTTTAAAAAAATTGCACCTATAATTTTTCAAATTTTCTACATGTGAAATTTTTTATTTTAATTTTATAGTAACAATTTTTTCATTAAAAAATAATTATCAAAATTTTCAGATGTCGGCTACTTTAATTTTCATAATTATCAGACATCTCTCAATTTCTAAATTATATAATCATTGAATAAATTGATTAAAATTTATATTTTCTCTGAGTTTCATTTTATTTCAAGAATAAAATCACACTGCCCTCTTTGTACCGAATGTGAAAGTATGACATAAACACAAAACACGTGCAGTTGTGCCGGAATTTGTTTATTAATAAATATAAAAGTATTTATATCTATCTTTAATAAACATTTGTAATAACATTATTTTTATTTAAATAACTTACGTCTAATATCATTGAGTAGTAGTTTTTAAGTTCTAACTGTGCTAATTGATTTTTATATAGTGTGTGTCTAGATTGTTGTGTTTATCTTGTTGGTTACATTAGGAGGGAAAAATGTTAAAATTTTCAAACATGTCAGCGACTATTTTTTATTCAAAGTGTATGCGGTTGTTTGTAAAAAATAAATCTGGGCATTCAAAAAAAGCCGAAAATATTAAACGGCTGATGAGAGAACAAAAAGAGATGTTTGGACCACTGTTGGAAAATAGTAAGGAACGGAAAAAAAAAAAGTTGCCGTCACAACAATCCGGTGCAACTGCCATATCAGCAACAAATGTTAATGACAATGAGGAAAAACTTAAACAATTGAGTGAAAACTCGGAATTTTTATGGACTGTTAAAAGTACGGGAAGTAAAAAAATTAAAATTATTAAAGTAAGTGGAAAAGAAAATGAATTTAATACACTTTCACATGACAAAATTGAATTAGGTGAAACTAAAATTACCGTTGACGCTAATTCGTTGACTGGTTCAACAAATTCTGAAGCTAAGTTAAAAGATTTCCAAAATTATGACATAATTAAATTCCCGATATTTAACACCCAAAAAACTAATGAGGATAATTGGGACACATCAGAAATCATCACGCAGCCGTTGATGGAATCAAAAAATTTTTCCTTGCCTGGGGTTACTAGAATTTTGAGCGCAACTATGTCGGAAGAAGCTAAATTGATGTTGGAAAATTGGAAGAAAAAAATGATTTTGAAATTAGGAGTTGAAGGATTTGAAAAATATAGTCAGGGTAACTTTTTTCATTTAACCCCTCAAGGGGCACACCTAGCGATTTTTGGGAATTATAAAAAAAAAATAACTACTGTATCACTTGTTTCAAAATTTTAAGGGTATATTTATACATATTTTAAGAATGCACAGTAAAATTTTTGAAGAAAAAAATTAAATATTTTTCGAGTTACACGCGATCTCCGACGGCGCTAAAAAAAAAAGGTCCTCCACTGCTGCAGGATTCCGGCCTTCTCCGTGAATGAAATAAAAAAAAAAAAATTCTCGTTAAACTAGAAGATATTTTCCGTACAATGACCTATGGCCGAAAAAAATATCAAAAATTGACAAAATGGAGGCGTTTTAAAAAAAAAAAAGTTAAATTTTACCCAAAATTTTGGTCGTTTTTGGCCTTAGATCATAAAACTGGTAGGTCATTGTATAGAGAACTATATCGACGTTCTAATTAGCAAATTGTTTAACTCGATTTTAAAAAATCTTCTATTTGTGCGAAAAAACAAGTAGTTCAAAATTTATTATCACTTTAAAAAACAATTTAATATTTTGCTTTGGATCATTCAAATAATTTACAATTAGAGTATTGCTATATCAAAATGTTAAAAAATCACTTTCTAAAAGATAAGGAGTTAGACCAATTGCTAATTAGACCGTCGATATACAGAACATGGAGAAAAAAATTTTATACTGATCGGATCATTTGTCTCCGAGTAATCATTGCAGCAAATTGATTCTATTCTAACTACCGAGCCTCTACTTTTGAAATGACCGTTACTCAAAAACTATTTGAGATGTCGATTTGAAATTTTAGTATGTTGATTTTAAAGGTATAACCTATCGAAATATGAAAAAAAATCGATTTTTTTAAATCTCACACTAGGTGTGCTCCTTAACGATAAACCGTAAATGTTTCTAACCGTCAGCAATTTTATGCTATAAATAAATTATCACATCCTTAATTAAAATTTTATTTCAGCGTTACTGGAAGATAGTAAAATAATACATTCATTAATCGAAGATACTTTGAAGAAGGAAAAAATTGATGTGCCAGAACGTTTGAAACCTACATACAATAGTATCAAATTGATATTAAAAGATGTAACTGACGTACGTCTGATAGAATCGCACGTTGTTCATCCAACTCTCGGATACCGCGGAATAGTCGACTGCGTTGCCTCGTACCGGTAAGCTAGACAATAAGTTTTTCATCATTAAAAATTGTCATTCGCACTATTACTTCAAGAGATGAAAATATTAGCTAGATTTCCCTGATAGCCACCTTAACTCAAACTTTTATTCAATCTACTGCCGAAATTTGTAGCCAATTTGATGAAAAAAGTTGCAAACCAAACGTTTTTACTTAAGTTGTCTACATGTTACACTGCAATTTGACGTCAAGACTTGCTGTACAAGTATTTTATTCAAGTTGTAGTACAATTTAACCAAAAGTTCGGTGTTAACTTGTACTCAAATTGGGGCTGTAGATTATATTCAATTTGTTTACAACTGTTGTACTGTAAAAATTTACGGTAAACTTGAGTCAAGTTAACTGTAACTGCTGAAATCCAACTACTTTTAATCAAAGCGTGGCTATCAGGGTTTTTATTTAAACTGTGTTATTAGCGTACGTTGATTTACAAATTATTTAATTGCCAATAGCTCTATTTGCTAGATGAGATCTTTATTTGATTTATATTCCTTATGAAAACATTACTAGGCACTATAATTAAGCAGATTGATTAGCTTATCTTCATTTCAGGAAATTCTATAATATAATCAGTCTCCTGACCAGGCAAATTATTTATAATAGTCATCAGTTGATTGGTGAAGATTGAAAGTAAAAAAAAAAAACGTTTTGATAATTTATTCTGTAGTCGTCTAGTCATGAATTTGCTCTGCTAATTGATTATATAAATATTTATGGGATATATCTATTTAATATTTACTACTTATTTAAAACTAAGTAGACCATCTCATTGAATAAATTACAATAAAATTAAATAGTAGAAAATATACTAGTTTATTGTATATTTATGTAGAATTTTGTATTATACCTTGATATAATTAGTTTAGAATTTAACTTATGAAGATTTTTCACTTTAAATATTTTCATATCAGCTCAATGTCCAGACACGGTACTTTATAATAGATTGTATATTACATTTATCTTGAGTTGATTGTAATAATAACTTCGATAGTACTATTTAATTGATCTACATCATTTATGAATACCACAAATTTAAAGCAGCTTTCTTAGATTCAATAAAATTTTTAAAGTAAGGTACCGGCGGGTAATAAGGGTAATAAGGCCTAGCTAAGAGAGATTTTGAAAAAAATCGAAAATATTGCATTTAATTATTGAAATGTATGATTAATTTTTATATTAATACATTAGTCATAAAATATAATGAAGTAATGGTAATTTTCACCATAAATTTTTTCAAAAACCTTGCAAATAGGCCTTATTTTACTACGGTAGGGTAATAAGGCCTGCGAGTTAAACATACTGGAAATAGTTATACTATACTTAATAAAATTGGTATTATTAGAGATCAATCATCACTTAAATTTAGCAACAATACTTTTTAAGATGTTGATAAAAATTAGAACAATGATTTTAAATTATTAAATATAAAATTATAAAAAATGTTTACCGTTTACTCAAACCGTTTTTTAGGAATTCTTCTGCGCTACTTTAGTATATGACGGATGATGAAATATAGAAGACAGGGAACGTTGTATCGGAACTCTATACATTTGTAGCGACATTTCTATGCTAGACACTTTTACTAGAAAAACCTTTAGCGGAAGCGGTTATTTTAAATATCATTTCTATCACTTAGGCCTTATTACCCGCGGGTACCTTAAGTGTTAAATTTCTGTTACAAACATTAAAGTTTTATCTCAATACTATCTGAAACAATAAAGTTACTATTTTTATAAATAGAAAAAACAGTTTTGTTGCTCCGAGAATATGATTTCAAAACTTTAACGACGCGTTAAGATTTCAACACTTAGTTTCTAAATATAATTAAAGCATTTTTTTTTTTAAAGGATACTGAATACGTAATATGTCTGGATCAAGAGTTAAGGACGATTTTTTAAATTTTTATTTGAAACGGTCTGAGAGAACAAAGTAAATATTTTTAGATTTTTTAATTCCTTAAAACATTTTTATTGAGATTCCAATTGAGAATGTGCTTTTTTATTATTTTGTTTAATTATAATTAAACAAATCAATATTAATTTATGATTTTTAAAAAGATTTTCCGTATTAATTATTTATGATTTATCTTTCATTTATTTAATTTCCCTCAAAATTACCTTTGATTATACATATCAATATTTATTAATAACACACTATCTCGAATTTGATTTCAAAGCAAGCTTCTGATATTTATAAACATAATATTTAAACTCGAGTATAGTTTAGAGTATGTCAATATAAACTGATGGGGATATTGTAAATATTTATCACTTTTTTATCTCTAGATTTTTTAATACTATAATTTATCATCAGCTGGCATTAGTTATTCATCGAAGAAAAAAAAAAGGCGGCTAATTGGAAATCAATATTTAATTGCAGGGGTAATTTATGTCTCATCGATTGGAAAAAGTCTGAGAAAATAAAAACAATAAATTCAATTTACGATTCACCTTTGCAGCTGAGCGCGTACATTGGTGCATTAAATAGCGACCCGAATTATCCATTCAAGGTAATAGATCGTAAGAGTCTTACTTACAATTGAATAAAACATTAAAAGAAAGAAACATAAAAAAATAAAAAATAGTATTAAGTAGTATGAATGTAAAGTAGAAATGAAATTTAAATGAAGCATTGGTTTGCTTTCAGGTAAAAACTGGAATTTTGGCAATTGCTTATGTCGAGGGCCAGCCGCCTTCAATCTTTGAATTTACCGGCAAGAAACTCGAATTTTATTGGAAAGAATGGTTAAAAAGAGTTGAAAAATATCATTTTATTAAATCCTCGTAGTTTTTTTATTGAAGAATTGTATACTAGGTACAATTTAAGCTAAACGTTTTCATTCTTTTACAAGTCCATACCCATATATGTAGATATGCATATTCATACTCATACACATATACCACGAGGTAACTGTTTGCCTTGAAAATATTAAATTTCACATGGCGCTTGCCTACAGCAAATCATTGTTACCATCTGCTCGTCGACATACCATAGTCTCAAGAGGGAAACTTATTCGCCTCTTAAAGTACACCAATTTCCTCAGTGAAAATTTACGAAAGCGTTACACCAAGAGTTTTTCCATTAAGAGTGTGAGGGACATGTAATAAGCAAACTTACTGTGTACCGGTCGTTCTACCAAAACACCTCACAAACTTTTTGTCCAAAAAAATTAAATAAAAAAAAAAAATTTGTTATTTTTATTAATGAAATGTACACACACTCCTGATTCAAACAGGAATGATTGCTCTTGTTACCGTTACTTTTAATTTAAATAACTGGTAAAAATAAATTAGTCGAAACAAAATAAGCGAACAAATAAGTAAACAAACAAACAAACACGTAGGATTAAAAATAGTATGGATATAAAACAAGGTATCTAATAAAAGGGTTTAATTTGTATTTTCACTGTATGCTTACTAGCACACGGCAATTATAACTTTTGATACTGTACCCACATAGCTCGTTGTCTATATCTATACTACTATCATACGAGACTGTTGTTACCCCTGGCGTTATTCCGGGCCTCCATAAACATTCCAACCCTTCGTATGCCCTTGGGAACGGTAAACTAATGGTGAGCCAGTCTTCTGCGGTTGCTGCATCAAGCCAAAGTATAAAATTCTCGTCCTGAAAATATACAGGCAGCGAAAACAACAAATTCTAAAATCTTTAGTAAGTACTTTAAATTGATATTTTTATAAATAAATAAGAAGTTGTCGCTTTATTTCTTCTCTAAAATCTTTAAGCCTCATTTCTATCTTACTTAATGTGAGTTGAGTTAATGTTTTTGCTCACTAATCTTTTATCTAATCCTACTTTACTTGTCTTAAGGGTATCTACACCAGTCGTGTCCTCGTTGTACTTACTTTATACACAATATACATACATATATACCTTTAGCTTCTTGTAACTTTTTTTTTTTTATTCTAGAGCAATTCCATTCTGCTGGATGGTATGGAGCGATATAAATACGACAGCCCAGAAGCAAAGCAAAAGCTAAAGCAGAAGCAGAAGTAAAAGCAAAAGCGGCTCTTGTGAAACGCGTGCGGTAACTCTACAAGTTTCAATGTATTATATAGAGAAGACTATGTAAAGAGATATTATCGCAATATATAGTGCCTTGGGTAAAGGACCTCTTCATTACTGGACGCGGAAATAAGACCATTACTGATAAACTGTATCTTGATGTTGTTAATACTGCGTTAATATGATGGGGTTTATTTTTTTGTCACGTCGATTGTACAATGAAATTTTTTTCATTGTAAATATTAATTTAATGATAGTCATCAGTAATTATTGTTATGAGAGTAAATTTTTTAAATGATTGTTATTAGTTGTGAAAGCTTTAAGTACCTTAAGAAGACGTACGATAAATACGAATCAACACGTTTAGCATGTCCCAGTGTTCAGGGATCACCTTAAATCTTCGGAGTTAATCCAAACTAATCCTCTGCTAAGTGGGACATATTTTCGTCGAATCCTCTTTTACATATTCTTCAATTTTAAATCCCTTTATTATCTTATTAATAATTTTAAATATTTTAGTTTAGTTTATTGAAGTAATAATAAGCGGTTTACCTTTATTTTCAATTTGAAATTTTAATTTTAATCATTTAAATATACTACACACGGAGAGAAAAATATGGAAATCATTAGTTTCTATAATATTATAGGAACCATTTCTATAATATTATGGGAACCATTCCCATAATATTAAAGTGATGATGTCTATAATAATATTGACATATTTATCATTACAACTGAAGTTATTTGTGACTTCGATGATCACTTTGAAGCATTTGAAATTATTAGTAATTTCGATAATTTTACTTGCTTCCCAATAACATCATTTGAAATATGTAAAGTAAGTAATATTGTTCATATAAATAATAAAAGTTACATACCCAAAAGGTGGATTTAATAAATATTCAACGTATGTATTGTAAATAAATAATTTTTTTTTTTTTAAATAAAATGAAATTGTAAAAATAAACAATGAATTTCCGTATCTACTTTGCTCCTCTAATTGTATAGTGAGAAAATATCCCTTTTATTAGAGAAACTTTAGAATTGCTACAATATTTTTCAATATTATCTAACACAATAATAACTGAGTTGGAATAAACAATTTAAGATTAAGTACACACGTGAATAAAAATTATGAAAAAGAAATTTTTTCACTCTATAGTGAAAGATCAATTTTTATTTACAAAAAAAAAATTTATTAGCAAAAAAAAAATAATAATTACTTTATATTTTTGAAGTGATTGCTTCATTATTAGGAACATGAACATTTTTCTATTATTATGTGCGTCATTCCCATAATATTATAGGAACCATTCCTAGAATATTATAGGAACCATTCCTAGAATATTATAGGAACCATTCCTTCAATAATATAGGGACCATTCCTATAATATATTGAAGCTATTCCATTATTGTATAGGAACGTTTCCAATAAACTATGGGTATGGTTCCCATAATGAGCATAGGATTGATACCTATAATAATCATTTTATTATAGAAACCATTCCTATAATTTTTGGAAAGGTTCCTATAAATTTCTCTCCGTAAAGTTAAAACTAAATCGTTAGACTTAAAAAATGTTTTACAAACTTAGGACATGGAATTAAAAAATTATAATATTAAAATGTTGATTGGTTTAAATATATTTAACGAAAAATTTAATTAAAAAGTAATTTTTAGTTTTTATATTCATATAATTACCTAAATTATTTGTTTCATTATAATTATTTCGAAAGCTTTTATAATGAAGTATTCATTGTGTTGAATAATTAAACATTTAATCTAAATAAATCATTCATCATATTTTGCATCTATAGATACTATAATTATATCAATAATCAATAGACTGACAAAATGAAAAATAGATTAAAAAAAAAATACTAAAATAACAAAAAATTTTTCATCTCCAATTCTAATAAATTAAACCAACAAAGTAAAAAACATGCCGCTTGACGTAAAATTTCTTACTACCAGCTCGCGCCATATAAACATATATATACTCGCGAAAGAGAAAAGTTTTCTTGAAATATCCATCAATAATTTAGCAACTGAATAACTTTATAGGATTTTTCGGTGGGAGTAAAGTGCCTGTAGACCAAAACTTTAAAAGTATTTTTTGATGCGTAGCGTCTCGCTTTTTACTTGTGTTAATGCTTATATAATACATAATATGAATATAAAAAGTCCGCCTGAAGCTTTATATTAAGCTTTATCCAATCTACACCCCGGTAACTTGTTCGTATCAAATCCTTTGTTTAATTTTTTACCCATACTAGTCGCTATAATACCACACACTCTTATCTCGAGCCTCATCCAATCCAGCCCTGTCTCGAGCAGTTTTTTTCACCACTAATTTGTTTTATTATTATTCCATCAAAAATGCTTTCGTGCATAAATTATCGATTGATCTCGATCGTCTCTTGACCGCTCGCTAAACGTGTGTTTGCCTCCCTCCAACGTTCCTTCCTACACATCACATATCTACTACTACTCTCAATATTAATTGATAATTGCAGAGCTACCGAAGCGTCCAAACTGGCCGGCAATAGCCACCCCTGTTCACAAAGGAACCGTTTATTTGATGCGGCCAAACGGTCCGGTAAAGTGTTCAGTGCACCATATCAAATGATCCACAAATAGGAAATGGTTGACCAGGAGGAGAGAACCAACGGAGGAGGAAGAGGAGAGAACCAAGATCCGTTAGACAATGTATAAAGTTTAATGGTGAAGGTATCAAGGTATAATAATGGTATAAAGGTATAGAGAGGCATTATGAGGTGTAGACTACACTGCCAACACCGACGACTATCGGTGCGATTACCACCTGGCTCACAATGTCCCTTAAATATAAAATCAATGACGCGAGCATTTCGCGAGGCTTTGTGTAATATAGAACCTTATGCTTGTAAGTATAAGGCAGACACGATTTTACAGTTCCCGGTCCTCATTAAAATTAAACGTTCACTGTATATAGGTCCTACAGCTACGTTATTATTGAAAAAAAAAAAAAAAAAAAAAAAATAATCTTACGGGTCTGCCAACACCCGACAACGAGAACCAATTCAAAGACGTCATGGTGAAGGAGTGTATACTATACAGCTGGTTGTATTGCACAAGTAGTGAGTGTAATAGCATAGTGGTTGGTAGTTGGGATAAAAAAATGAAAAGGGAAAAAGAGGCACGCCGGATTTCACAGTCATTGACTCGTGAAACAGCCGCGGGGGCGGTCATGTGGGCATTAATATGGGGACGAAGTAGAAATGCCAACCAGCACAGGACTAGCAGAGGCTCAGGACCAGAATTACGCTGAGAAAGATAAAGATAAATGTATGTGGATATGTTGAGGTATACGTATGTCTGCTTAGGGATCTCTACCGTCGACTAACTGCACCCTGGTTTCAGTTTAACCGACAAATGTGTGTGCATGTGAGATAGAAAGAGGTCCTACTATACTTAAAATTTTTTAATTTTTAAATTTTTACCAAGTAATTTAAGAGCTTAGTTTATAAATCAGACTTAGTTTAATTAAAAAATGAATAAAGTAAATTTATTGAAAATAAAGGTTTGTAACATATATATTATTAGGGTGGCGCAAAAAAACCGACTATTTTTTTTTTTTTTAGTCTCGAGTGAAAAAATGCTGGTTTTTGATGTTTTAAGAGCTCTCTCCAAAGGACAGAAAAATCGTTGAAAATCGAATTTTTTTTTTTACTTTTTTCTCGTTACGTCATAATTTTATAGACCAAAAAAAAAGGTTTTCC